CTAGAATAGTCCAAGTGTTGAAAATATTGAAACAGAGTTTCAGAATCGTCAAGTGGCAAGTAGTGCGGAAAATAAAGAGTTGTGAATCACCAAGTTAATGATAAAAACGTTTTTTAATGTTCAAGATCAATGATTCAAATGTTTCTCATATTCATGAAGATTCAATTACAAGTGTTTGAATGTAAAACACACCAAAACTCTCAAATGGCTCTCTAAAGACTAGTCTAGGTAGCAATTGTGCAAAATGAACAGGAATGATCAGAAAAGAGCAACTTTATAATGGATCCCAAGGGGCCTATTTATAGGCTTTGGAAAATCCCATGACATGGCTTGACCAATCAGGTGTTGACACGCCATCAAGACTTAGTCATCAATTGACACCTTTGCCCTACTTAACGAAGAATGGATGGAATATTCCAATTCCGTTAGTATTCCGTTAGGGTTCCATCCAAGTTATGAGTCTTCATAATTCTTGAACCTTCTTGATCAACATTGAAAATGTGATGAGCAACATGAGCATCATCTTGCTCAATTGTCTTCTTAGATGTCATCAACTTCCAGAAGTGTTGTTGATCATGTTGAGTTATTTCTTGAGTGTTGGACTGTTCCTTGAACTTGAAGATGTACGACTACTTGTTCATGAAGGACCATGGACGAAATTCATGTTTCTTTGAGAATTTGGACGTGCCTTCATTGTACATGATGTGCCATGTACAGTCTTGTTGAGTCATCAATGTGATCATGTTGATCCATTCACTTGAGTTGAGCCACCAAGTATTCATGTTGAGCCATCAACTCTTGTTGAGCCAAAGAGTTGTGGATGAGCCAACAATGTTTCTGATGAGCCATCAATATTCTATATGATCCATCAACGTCTTGATTCTCCACATATGATCTATATGTGCCATCTGAGATCATGATGATCCAACTAGCTTTCTTCAAGTGCTCCATGTTCAACAAGTGCTCCATGTGTACAACAAGTGCTCCAACATCTGATTCTTCAAAAACTTGTTGAATCTTCAGTATCTTTCCAACCTGAAACATTCTGATAATGTTTATTAGAAAATGTAAATCAATACTCAACTCATTTCAAGTGACAATCACATAAAATATTTCCAACATTAAGCAATGTGTCCATAAGGTTACAGATGAGCATTTTACAACAATAATAAAAGTATTATGTTCATCGTGATTTGCTCCATACGGGGGTGATACCACAAAGGCATTGGATGACAAACACCCATACAAGCCACCACCATCCATGTCGAGTACCATATTTTCAGAACCTCCCCTTGTAGTGGATAGTGACAGTGTCCTTGGGGGTATTAAATCCTTCCCTAAAGGAACCTAATGTGGGAGAGACAGTTTGAGAGCTCAACACATTTTGGATGCTCTTTGTGGAGAAGGGTCGGTTATATCCAAAGGCCTCCTACGAGCTATTATATTTGTGGTTAATCTATGGATAGGGGGAAGATGCATGTCGAGTTTGGTAGAATTGTTGTCTCTGCTCCTCTTACACCGCTCTTGAAACCTGACAATGGAATGCAACCTATTATAGTAGGCACTATATGGAGATATTTGGTTTCCAAGTTGGCTATGAAAGGTGTTGGTAAAGAAATGACCAAGTATCTCAATGATTTTCAGTTCGGGGTATCGGGTGGCACTGAGGCCATGTTACATAACGTCAATAGGGTGTTGAATGAGTGCCACGTCGAAGGGTCTCTTTCCAAGCTTACCGTGGACTTCTCCAATGCCTTTAAAATAGTGGACATATCAACAGTACTTCATGAGGTCAGATTGATGTATCCTTCTATATCCTAATGGTTAGAATTCTTATATGGTCAAAAAGCAAGGTTGTATCTAAGAGACACACATATTTGGTCCACCACTGGGGTTCAACAAAGAGACTCATTGGGTCCATTTCTCTTTGCTCTTGTGTTGCAACGTCTCTTTTATAATATTATAGACAATTTCAATCTTATTCTCCATGCATGGTACCTTGATGATGAAACACTTATTTAAGATTCGGAGGAGGTGGACAAAGTGTTGGACATCATTAAGGTGATTGGTCCAGAATTGGGCCTTCAGTTGAATATCAAGAAAATCGAGCTCTTTTAGCCCTCTTGTAATGGTAAGAGGCTTCGTGAGGGGTTATTCCCGGTTGACATCGGGTGGCCAATATTGGGGGTGAAACTTCTTGGGGGAGCTATTAGTAGAGAACCTAGTTTCATTAGCAACTTAGCCATAAAGGGAGCCGTAAATGATGTGAATTTGATGCGCCTTCTTCCACAACTGTCTGACCCCCAAAGTGAGTTCCTTTTTCTTTGTTCTTGTATGTGTATTGCTAAAATTTTCTTTGGGATGAGGACGTGTTAACCCATTCACATGGAGGCAGTGGCGTTATTCTTTGACAAAGGACTGCACGGGGCGACGGAGGACATCCTGGTTTGTGGTGGCACTTTCTTTCGTGACATACAGTGGCGACTTGCTTCCTTACCCATTAGGTTTGGTGGTTTGGGTTTGTACTCAACAGTAGAGGCGACCTCATATGCTTTTGTTGAGTCAAGGGCACAATCATAGGTATTACAAGACCACATATTACGAGATAACGACATATGTGGTATAGATTTTGATTATGCTTATGCATTGGCTTCTCTTCGTAACATGCTTCCGAGCATTGAATTTAGTAGTTTCAGTAATAAGGACACATCCCCTCCTAAATCCCAACATACACTGGTGAATGTCATTTTTAGTAAAATTGTCCAAGACATGGAAGTGTATTTCGACATGACGGTTAAGTAGAAACTAGTTTTCGAGTGTTTACGAGCACCACATGCTCAATATTTTCTTCTAGCTATCCCTATAGATGGGCTCGGGCAACATATGTCTACTATGAAGTATCATACTATCCTTATATATTGGCTCATGATCCCAATATTCCCGGCTGACGAGATATGTTCAGTGTGTCGCAAGGCATGTTTGGACTCTTTTCGAGAGCATGCAGTTCATTGTAAAGAACTCCCGGGAGTTCATAGTAGACACAATATGGTAAGGGATATTTTGTTTGACATATTTAAGCGGGTCAGGGTTTCTGCTAAAAAGGAGGCACTTGTGAATTTCTTGACTGGCCCGACAGAAGGAAGGTCAACCCTTAGACCGACTGATGTTTTTGTTTTTGGATGGATTGGAGGGAAACACACTAATATGGACCTTCATGGGTTATCCCCTCTCGTGGGTTTGAGGGTTGGGGTTTTCAAGGCGGGGCAGACTACCTTAAAAGCTGCTACATGCAAAATCACAAAACATGAGAAATTGTGCATGGAAAATCAACATATGTTCATATCATTCATGTTTGATACGTTTGGTTTCCTCGCAGTGGATGCGGTGAAGCTTTATAATAAAGTACAATGAATCATGCATAACAGTTTTATGTCCCCTAGATTTATGAATATAATATTCAAAAGAATTGGCTTTATCATACAAAAATGTTTAGCGGCGCAACTTGTTGTCCGTTTGCCTTCTCATTCATTGTATTATGATCAATAATTAAATCATGAAATTTTCAAATAAAATTACAAAGAAATATATTAGTATTGTATTACATATATTTTGTTTTTGCAATGGGGGGATCATAATTGAGGTATGAATTTCGACACAGAATATCTAAAGTTCAAATTCTAGTATGCCTAAAATATTGTTAGGGTTCTGCGATTAACCTCATATGTGGGCCTTGAGGTGGGTCAATATGGGATGGTTATATGGTGCATTCAACACAAAAGATCCAAAATTTAAACCAAATATGTCTAAAATATTGATAGTGTTATGCAATTGACCTCTCACATGGACCTTAAGGTGGGTCAACTTAAACGGCTTATATGGTGCATTTGACAATTAACACATAAAATTATTGTTAGTCTTCTATGATTAACTTTCTTTGTGGGCCTTGTGGTGTATCAACTTATATGGTGTAGTTTATCAAACTTTTTAATGTATTAAAAATATATTTAACAATCACTTGTTTATATATCATAAAATACAAAATGGGCCATGGGCATTTGAATTTATCGCAAAACGACTATTCTAGTTTGGAAAAGTCTAAAGCAGGATTTTTATACTATCACTTTTAATAAAATACACTAAATATGACAATTTAAATCATATCATTGAATAAGGAAAGCCGAATCACACAGTTCTTTTTTGCAATAAATCTGAGTCTGATTACATCAACATAATCAACACAATTAAATAACTAATCAAATAGATAACACTATCCAACTAATACATGGTTTATAATATACAAATTCTAGCATGATTCTTGTGCTCGCATTTACATGATTTTCCCATCCGCTAATGACTTCGGAGTCCCTAGCTAGCTATGTGATCCACATGCACACCAGAAATATTTTTCATGCAATCAGCTTTCGAAACATATTTAGACTGTTACATCATATTATACCATTTATTTTTGTTTTACCTTTTGGTTGAGCATGATATTTAAATAAAAGTTTTATTTTTTTTATTTATCTTATTTTATTTTTATTTCATTACTATATTATTATTATTATTATTATTATCATCATTATTATTATTAGTATTATTGTTATTATTATTAAACTTAGATATTACAATAATATTAATGCTTTATGGTGTTTTGATAAAAATATGAACATTTGCAAGGACTGCATCTGATTTAAATTACTTTAAACCACTACTAAATTTGTTGAAATTATAGCATGCAACATTAAAATTATATAAAAGTTACATATGATTGAATACTTTATATTTATCAATTATATAAATTTTCAATGTCGATCGGCGAAAAACTAGATATGCATTTTCTTTCCGGTTTTACTTTTTCTCTCTTTAACCCTACAAACTATATATTACTTAATTATATTTAATAGAAAACTATATTTTCTTTAAAAAAAATTAAAATTTAGATCCATATATCACCATTTGACAGAGTCAAAGTAAAGTTGTTGGTTTGCTATAAAAGGGCAATGACCAATGGATCTTATCACTCAAAGCTGCCCAACTCAACAATGGATGACAGACAAAGACATCTCCATTTTGTCTTCATGAACTATGATCCAGAATACGAACGCCTGCAATCTGACAGGTCAGTTTTGTAATTTCACTTACTTCCTCCCTCCGGGCTCCGGCCTCCACCACCATTAATTATGCAATGGTGATATCGATGTATGTATGTAATATATACAGAACAAAGAGAGGGGCAAGGGAGGTGGAAATGTACTTGAGCACCAAGCATAACGATCTGTTGGCTAAGAAACTTGAGCCTGGAACTTACCACAAGACCTTATCTTTGTTCATCGTTGATGCTTTTGCTGTTCAAATCACTGATGCTCAGGTCAACTTTACATATATATACTTTCTCTTTCTCTGTACATCTTTCTACCTCTCGCTCTTTTGACTGCTAAAGAACATGATAGTTAACGACTTTATTTTGTCACAGGCCGATGTGCTTAGATCTGCAAAAGAAGTAAGGGTGGTGGAGAAGAACCAAGAGCTTCCTTGAAATATTATTGTTTCTGGGGTGGGTCGGATTTGATGAAGAAGCATTTTGCTTAAAGATCTAGTTTTACCTTGAGACATGTGGTCTTTAGTCTTTATATATTAACCTAAGCTACCTACATTTGTATAGCATAAGATACTATTGTATTGCTTATTGGCTTTCTTTTCAGATGGTTAAAAATTAAACCAGTGTTTAAAAATTAAAGATGTATAATGTATTCCCATCTATAATTTTACATACATCATGTAAGATCCGCTTACGTCAATATTATGATCCTTAGGCAATATTATTGCCAAAGATATATCAAAATATGGCTCAATTTTATTTTCTGATGTGTTACAAATGTTATAGTCTTCATTTTGTCTTTATTTTTTTAGAAAAATCCAAGAAATCATATATAAAGAAATAAAACTTCATTAAAACATATATAGACTTATATACACAATTTTCAACATGAAAGCCATTCTCTGGTTGGCCCACATTACCCGCCCACGGCCATCACATGTGGAGAAAGTATGGAACACTTGATATTTTAGTCATGTAAAGTTTGAACTCCTTTATGAATTTTGCATGTCCAAAAAAAGTTCTCAACATCAATATAACGGGTATTATCCCTGAGGCTCTGGAGGATAACCGTTTGTTTTCATTTGGTCTCTTTTATTTTTTTTACCCAATATACAATCGAATTTGTTGTTTATGTTCATCATAACCCTTTTGACCGACTATCACCTGTGATAGCCGGTTAAATGGTCATAGTGAACACAAACAACAAGTTTGATGGTATATTGGGTACAAAAAAAAAGAAAAAAAACCAAATGAGAACAAACTCAACAGTTGATTGCCCTCCTGAGTCCTTTTCCCTTTACTCATTTACAAAAAATCTCACGTCATTTCCCGCTCATATTAATAACTTTATGAGATTCATTCTTGTTTCTCTTCAAAACATAACCCACGAAAGAACATTATTCATGCATGTACAACTTTGTAATGCACTTCAATATTTATTAGGGGAATCTTGATTGAGCAGATGCATTTCATGACAACATTTACATTTCCAATCAAATGATTTATCATATCATGGATTCTGGACAAGTCTAAAAACGAGTGGAATCACAAGTGCTGTGATTTTTGAGTTTACTTGCTTTAAGATCGAATTCATGGGATAAGATACAACATCAATATGTACAAGATCATGCAACTTTTGCAAACACATCACCATAATATACCTTGAGGTAAACGTTTATGCTGATAAAGATACCTCTCATACACAATCATATCATTTTGCAGAGAGTTGTTGACAACTAACCACAATAAGGATAGCATAGACCATGTTTTGACGAAGCTACCCCTCCGAAACGCTCTTCATGGACGTTTTTGATACTTTTGCTACTTTAATTTCATATAACTTTTTGGAAAAATGACTCAGGCGGGTAACCAATTGTTGAGCTTGTTCTCATTTGGTCCCTTTCCTTTTTTTGTACCAAATATATCATCGAACTTGTTGTTTGTATTCACCATAACCATTTAACTGACTATCATAGGTGATAGCCGGTCAAAAGTCAGTCAAAAGGGTCACTATAAATAAAATTGCATTTAGTGGCACAAAGTTTTAGTGACATTATGCTTTTGTACCACTAAAGCCTACTTTTAGTGACATTTTGTTTATGTCATTATAGCTTTTGAAAACATTTTTAGTATCACCTCCTACCTAGTCATTTCACTATGCGGGAAAACCAAAAACTATATAAAAAATCCCGCCTTTGGATTTCGACGATTCAAAAGTGGGAACGATTCTTCTTCGTGTTGCACACATGCTTCCCTCCGCTGCTCATCCTATCAGACCTAGATCGCTCGTCCTGCTCCGCCGCTCGACCATTCATACCTAGATCGTCTGCCCAGGTACATCGATTTACCGCTCTGCCCTAGTCCCCCTGTTCGACGTTCTTCCATACTACTCCGCCCTCTTCCACCCTAGATCGTTTTTTGTCCTTCGTGTTACTGTAAGTTTTTGTCGTTTGTGTCATTATCCATCTCACTTAGGGATGTCAAAAAGTCCCGTGGGTCCCCCGTCCCATTTGGGGTAACTTTTTAAAAAAAAATCGGGGGCGGGAACGGGGCCGGGGGCAAGGTTAACCCCCGTTTTAATTTCGAGGGTGGGGGCGGGGGTAGGTAATCTTGTCCCGAAACCCCCATGGGGACCCCGTTAATAAATTACACATATATTTACATATATTAATTATATAAATATAATAAACAATAACATGATTTAAGCTTCCAAAATTCATCAAAAAACATGTTTTTAAGTTGTTAGTATAATGTTTTTAAGATTCATAACTTTTTTTATTTTTAACATGTAAAATGATGCTATAAATAATTATTTGTTACCTAAAAAATAGCTTCTTTTAGAATAACAACTTCTTATAGCCCAAAAAAAGCAGCCCAAAATCAATCGGGGGTGGGGGAACAGGGGTGGGGGAACAGGGGCGGGGACAGGGGAACGTGGAAATTTCGAGGGCGGGGGCGGGGGACGCACTCCCCGTCCCGTTTGCCCCCGTTGACATCCCTAATCTCACTTTAATTATTCTTATGTAATGTTTACATGTTCGTATATGTTGTTTAACTCAATTTTCAATCTTACTGTAATTTTTCAGCATAACGTGTAATCTAATTTGCTACTTATTTTGCAATCACTCAATTGGGAACGAGGTGTTTCCATGTATAGTTTTGTCACTCCTCACTTTCCATATATTATTGAGTTATGTTTTGTTAACTATTTTATATGTTGAGGTGCTAATTTTATATTAGGTTTTGGAGGAACTTAACCTTACAGTGGATTAATTTTCGATTTGTGCATTCTTTGTAGGTTCTAGGGTTCAAGAAGTGGATAGATTAATCATGATTCTCTGTTGATTCAATTGCAAAATCAATTCCTTATAAATGGAGATAAATATTGACATTTTGGTTTTAAATATTAACATTTCGGGATGATATGTGAAATTGCCAAATTAGATGTTAGTATAAATAGAGTTCAATGGATCAAGGCATTGACATTGGGGTTAAGACAAAGATTATTAGGTATTGGTTTCTGCAAGGGTACTCTGTAATACTTTTGATCTTTATAAGAAATGTTATTTTAGGCGTGACTTTGTGAGAATGGAATTCTGTTGAAGACAAGGTATAATCTGGCCAAGTCACGGTTCGGGCAATCTAGAAGTATTGTTTTCTACTGTTGTATCCCGAGAAACAAACACCCATATAGGGAAAAAAAAATTAAAGAAAATGTGCTAAACACAGGTCTCGATAATCAATTTTTCGTTCTTTTTCTTTTGTGCAGTTTTGGGTTCTATGGCGTTAGATTGGTCAGTATTAGCATGGTTCGTACTTTGTCAGCTCAACAGCTAATCAACTTGTTAGCTTAAGATCAGATGAATTGTCAGTTTGACATCCAAAAATTATAAAAACTACATGTACATGCTTCAAACTTTTGAAAGCCTTTATTTCAATCATTCTCATCTAGTTTTCAAATATTATGAATTTATATACTCATTATACTCCTCTTTTGAAGTACTAATAATCTAAACATCATCATATTCATCGAGTATGCTACTTTCTTCTTTTCCCTAAAAACAAAAGTGTTAGTTGTGGATTATCCTACAATGAAATTTATGAAACCCATGCATAAAGGTCGAATTATTAGTCAAGGTTAGTAAACCTTCCGCACTTTACTAAGATACCCATGCATATTTTATTATCAAAACTTATAATATTTTCCTCCTAGTTCCAACAGTCTTAACTGACAAATTAATTTGTTTTGATAGTCATGAGTAACCTTGAATATGTGAATACATGACATCAAAATTTGGCAAGTTCGAGAAATTTGAAAAGAACAATTTTAGACGTTGGAAAAAGAAGGTGCACATTCTTTTAACAACTTTAAAAGCGGTGCATGTATTGAGCACACACATGCTAGAAGTAAAGGAAGATGAGACTTTGTCTTGCACTAAAAATTGAAGTCACTGGAAGAATGATACATTTATAGAAGCCACGTCTAAAATGTTATGTATGATTCTCTATTTACTATCTTACAAAATGTTGAATTGCTAAGGAGTTATGGAACTTATTTGAATTAAAGTATATCATTAAAGATGCTTATAGTAAGAAGTTATTAGTTAACAATTTTAATAATCATATAATGGTTAGTTAAAGGCATGTAATGGAACACTACACTGAACTTCTTCAGATTTTAGGTCAACTCACTTGAAACAAAATGAATACGGACGGGTCTATTGATGTGTTAAGTGTTACTGTAACATCCCAAGTTCGGAAGCAAGAAGTTGGAGGGTGCTAAGTGTAAATAAATGAAGCTACTCGACGAGTAGGTATGCTACTCGTCGAGTCGGAGCGGGATTGATCGCGGGTTAAGTGGCCAACTCGCCGAGTTGGCGGCTTGGACTCGACGAGTTGGTGCTGGAATGAGAAAACCCTAATCCCGAGGGTTCCACCCTATTTAAAGGACTTTATGTCCTTCTCCCAGCCTCCTAATCCCCCAGAGAGTTCCAGAAAACCCTAATTTCGTGTGAGACTTCATTGTTGAGGAGATTGGAGCTTGGAAGAGGAATTTGGTGGAAGGAGCTTGAGAAATTAGAGGCTAGCATCAAGGGGCTTGTGTAGATCTGGGATCTACATCAGTTTGGGCACATCTCAGAGGTAAGGAGCCATTATCTTAAGCTATTTTCCTTTTTGGGTTCATCCTTGGTGGTTGATTTGGAGTTCCTTAGCTTGTTTGAGACCTATTTCGGGTTTGGAGTTTAGATCTGAGGTTGCTACTCCAGATCTAGGCTTGTGATGGTCCAAATTGTCATAAAGCTTCTGTTTAAGAGTTGTTGGTGAAGCCCCCTAGTCCTTAACCCTAGCCCTAGAGTGTTTTGGGCTTATATCTCCTTGGTTTCACGTAAAGTTTGCAACTTTATGTGAGGGTTAGGTTGTAGAAGAATGGATCTATGGTTTGGAGCCCCTGCATGGCTCGAAAAGCCTCTGTATGGATTGAGAACTGGAGAGACTCGGCGAGTCACATGGGTGTACTCGACGAGTTGTATGAAGATTGCCTTGAACTCGACGAGTTGGAAGAACAACTCGGCGAGTCTGTTGAAGATTGCCTTGGACTCGGCGAGTCTGTTCTTGGACTCGGCGAG